CTTCCACACTTTCCCCTCCCCAACTTTTCAAGGTAACCAATATTAAATGCGTGTGTAGCCTCAAACAGCTCTCTCCGTGCTCATAAAAACATACACACACTTGCATACAAACAGCTCTTTAACCTTCAGTTTTGTTTTCCCTTATGGAATCATATCACTCTATCAATTGCTTTTTAAATAGCCACATAATATTCCATGGCATGAATTTATTTTTTATTAAACCATTTCCCTAGCAACAGACCTTCAGGTTGTTTGCAATTCTTTGCCACTTGATAATGCTGCAATAAATATTCTTGCATATATATATATCCTTTATTAGTAGGACTTATATGTCTTAAGAGATGACACTAAAACTGAGCTTACTGGGTCAAAAGTTATGAACATCTTACATTTCAACAGAATTTAATAGATTATTTTCTTAAAATTTTGCAGCAATTCACATTTGAACCCATGAATTTACATCAGTATAAGCCTGTTTGTTTCCCTTCATTCTGAATAACTGGATAACACTGGTTGTTATCACTCTTTAATTTAATGTTGGCAATCTGATAGCTGGAAAATGATATCTCAATTCAGGTTCAATGAATGAAGCTGAGCAACTTTTCACTTATTTATTGGTCATTTACATTTCTCTTATAAATTTGTTGATCAAATCCATTACCCATTTTGCTTTAAGGTTCTTTGTCTTTTTTGTTGTTGTTTATTAGGTTTCTTAACTCTTTTCTAACACACGAATTACAAATATTTTCTCTCGGTCTAGCTTTTGACTTTTTACTCTGGGGGTTCTTTTGCCATCACAGAAAATTTAGATTTTTAAAGAGTTAAATTTAGTCTCTGAGGTTATATATTTCTCTAGAGTTTCATCTAACATTGTTATCATTTTAATATTTACATGTAGATTTGTAATAGCTCTGGAATATATTTTTAAGTGGCACAATATAAGTATGCATTTTTTTGTTTTTTCCAAACTATCAGAGGGGAGGGAGAATGGGTAAGAGGAGGATTGCAAAAGGCACACAGACACCACTCAAGTTTGCCGAATGAATAAATCAGTGAACAAATGCATGTTAATTCCTAACCTTTATTCTCTCTCTCCATCTAGTGATTTTCCAGTAACCTATTTTACAAAAGTTGCTGTCACCAACGATGTCTGGAAACTAAGTGCTGACGCTTCGCTTCAGCTCCCGACACAATACACTAAGTTCTCTAGAACCAGTGGTTTTAAAAGGAGAGCCCAGCTTGGGAGTCTGAGCTTACTTATCACTTCTTGCTCTTTTATAGATAATAAAGTATTCAGTCTCGAATTTCCCATTCTGTAAAATGAGGATGGAAATTTTTAAAAATACTTTAAAAACTCTTATCTAAAACTAAGGTTGAAGCTGAGCTTGAAATAACATTTATAGGAAAAAATTCATGTTATAACCTAAGTGTAGAAGAAGTGCTCTTTATAGTTAGATTGGTCAACTTAAGAAAGACAGTAAAAAAAGAAATAACAATGACTTTCAGATATCTCCCGCCCCATGACTGAGTTTTCTTATGTAAGGTCAAGGCTGAAGGCTACGATCATCACAAATCATATAATCCTGTAAAAACACACTGCAAAAACCTAGGGGCCCACTGAAATCTTTTTTAATTAGAAGCTTCATTCCACATACCTATGGATAATTTATAATTATTTCCCTTTCCTACTTTTTAAATTTCCATTTCACTACTATTTTGATAATAACATCAGAGACAATCCTCCACACAAAAGGAATGACCCTGGTTTATATAATCAACATTTATCATCTGGCATCCTGCAAAAAGTACATGAAACATTAGTCCGAATATGAAACTAGTTATTTCCAGGAGTTCATTTTATGAACTACTTTAGTATGTTTTATTCCTCTTGATGTGGCACATGAGTTTTCCCTGAATCGGTATTTGATTCCTAATGGATACCTAAGTTTGATTTTGAGTGCTTAAGTAAGTCCAAAGAGTTCCAAAAATACAAATCCACACAGTGCTGTTTCCAGTTTCTGCAACTCTAACAGGCTTGTACATGTGTTCCCTCCCATCTGGGAAATTAGAAAAGAAACTCTTGTACCATGGTTCTTAGAAGCTAACATTACAGATGATTATTGTAACCACTAATGGCAGCATTTGGAAAACAGGGGGTGGTTAGAGCATAGCAGGGGACATTTAAAAAGGTACAAGTATACATTTTCAGGGCTCTCTATCTGCACTGTTTGAAACTGCAACAGGCAAAATTGGGGGAAAAGATGCCAAATCTGCTAAAGCTAAAGAAAAATATTGCCTCCTACCTTTATAAAAGTGTACCAGGCACTGACATACATATGGTGAGGCAATAATGGTCAGGATATTTTGCTGAGATTTAACTGTGGGTCTGGCTCAGCACTTGACTACAGGATAAAAGGGATTCTATGGTTTACAGTGAATATTCACTACAGTTGAGTTCCTTGCAGGCTAGGAGATTTTCCTGTTCATTTTTGCACCATCAGTATCTGGAACATAGTATATATGTAGCAAATTAGCTGGAAAAAAAACTGAATTAATGCAGAAATGACTGAAAGAATGATTAAATGAATGAAATAAACCACTTTACTAGCTTTTCTAAATGGAGGAATATTTGGGTTTCAGGATTCATAGTATAAAACTGATAGAATTAAATAGAAAAATGCTTTCAATTAGGAAGATTTTCAATATTTATTTCTTTAATTCCTAAGTCTATGAATTCTTAATATTGTATTAAAGAAAACTCAAATCTGAAC